AAGGAAGGACGAGAGAGGCTACATAGTCTACTTTTTGGTTTGGTAGCAAAGTGAGGGTTAATAAATTTTTATCTAAATTAATAGAATGGGAATAGAAACTTACTTTTTACTTTTTATTGTTCTTGAGTGTTTGAAACCTTGTCAGATACGTGTGTTATTTGCAGGAATAAACACCAACCCTGAAAGTTTATTTCAAAAGGAAGAGTTTATAATAATGGGAAAAACTGATTTCTTCCTCTCCATCTCATCTAATTTTGTGCTGAGATAGGACAGGCTCCTTATCTCTCATCTATAATAATTGTTTTGCAGTCATTTGTAAAAAAGTTCTGTGCCAAGTTCTCTAAATATTATTTTCTTCATTACAATTCTAAGGGTAGTACAACCACTCCCTTTATATAGACGAGGAAATTGAGCCTTTTAGAGTTTAAGTAACTTCGTCAAGGTCACGAAGTTAATAAACATAAAGCCACAAAGACATCCAGACAGAATTTGTCATTGCTTCCTAGCAGCAATAAACACCAATATTCTCACTTGCTAGTGTTTGTGTTTAGCCAAATACATTCACCTCACTTCTTTGCTTAAAATCTGTGGCGCACCCTGTCAACCTTCTCGTTGCCCTGGTCCAGCTTTCAGCACTTCCATCCATCTACTCATTATTAGTCAACAAATTATAGCAACTCTAATGCTTATTTCAAACCTATTTAACATATGATCTCTCAAAACGCCTGCGACATAGTTAAATGAGCACGCATCCGAAACAGTTTCAATGATGCATCAAAAGGTTTACAACCAATGCTCATCCCTGGTCCCCAAGTCTAGGGCTAGACTGACCTTGCTGTGCAGATGCCTTGAAGTCTTCTGGTTCATTCAGTGCCCTGAGCTTTCTACCAGGTATATGAGTGTCACTTTCTTCCATCTCCCTCTGATTTTACAGCTGCTCTGTCTTCTGCCAGGTGGGGCCTTTACATAAGTCCTTCATTAGTTATCTCTAATAGCCTATTGTTGTTTTTTTTCTTTACTCCATTACACTGTTACTATCTTGCTATTGTATCACGGGTCACATTAAACTGGATGGATTTGTTTGCCTGATTCCTTCTATGAAACATAGATTATGAGCTGTGAGCTTAGTCTGAGTAAGATACTGAGATAGACTAATGATGGAGATAGGAATAAGATGGGGTGAAGAAAGCCATGATTAATAACAAAGATACATTCCTAATGTTTCCAGAATCCTTGTAACATCGAACTGGGCACAGAACTGGAGACAGAGATAAATGCTAAACAGGACAAAAATGGTCATGTTTGTGTCTGTGTGTATCAATCATACACATATAATATCTATACATACCATGATTACACGTAATATATTGTACATGTACAGTATGTACACATATATGTACATAGCCTGCAAAGAGTTTACTAGTGAATATCTGGCATGTATATATAGTACATAAATTTGTGTGTACATGTATAATAGTGTATATAGACTTACATTTAGCTTGTGTATATGATGTGCAAATACATGGTGTATATATAGTCCTATATATGTGTATCTTGCACATAACATGGTATGTGCACATATGCATACATGCACCCATTGAGTATATATACTATAGTGCAACGCAGTCGGATATTTACAGAGTACATAGGAGATGGCTATAAGGACAATCATTGCACACAATAGGGACTTTATTTTCAATAGAAAGATAGTGCCTTGTGTTCAGCTCCCTGTTGTGAAAGAGGAGCACTGAAGGAAGAAGAAATAGTTGGAGAATTAGGAAAGAAAAAGGCGTGGAGAAAACTCACTAGCCAAGAAAGAACCACATCCTAAGATGAGGGTGGTTAGCTAAACAAATCCAGAATTTTTCAAAAAGCCAAAGAGATGGAAAACCAAAGAGGAAGGGATCCTTGGGTTTAAGAATTAGACACATTGTGGTGACCCAGAGTAAGTTTCAGGAAGAGGAGAGGTAGGCTGAGTCACAGGCGAGGAAGTAGAATAAGACAAACAGATTTCTGTCTCTTTCTAAAACTATTGCCTGGATAGGGTGGCAGAGTAGCAACTTGTAATAGAGAAAGAATCAAAAACTCGACTTGATGTGGCCCCTAATAAGACAGGAAGCTCATGTTTGATAAACAACATTTTGTAGATAGGAAACCAACACACAGAGGTTAGTTAAGTAACTTGTTCAAAGTTGCTTAGCTCTTAAGTCCCAGAACTCATGTTCCACTAAGGTAATCCAGCTTCAGCATTGTGCTCTTGGCCCAGGAACAAACAGAGATGCAGAAAACATTTGTCAGGTCTTGCTAAGACTACATGAAATACTAGGCACAGAGCTGGAACAAGATATAAATAATAAACAGAATAAAAAAATGGTAGTTGTGTTGTGCATGATATTTATAGATGTATTCTACCTCTCGATAGCATGTTATATCTAGACTAGCCTGCCCCTGGATTTCCCTGGCTTTCTCCCCCAACCTGTGCAGAAGCTTTCACTCTAGCAACATCACTGTCAAAACAGTGGGTCAGAGAATCACTGGTATCAGTCACAGAGATAAGGAAGAAGAGCAAGAAGAAACTATGTTGGCACTGAGGGTTTGCCTCCTTCCAGAAATTGTGAAAATTATAACCATCAGAAGAGATGGGTAGTAAATATGTGAGGCCAAATTTTGAGAGAATTTTCTCTAAATTACTTAGAAAATGGCACTGTCATGGTTTATGTCTGTGGCCCCCAGGCCTCATGCGTTTGCATTGTGCATTTGTGATTGGTTCATTGTCTAGTATTTGGACTGACAGTGTCAGTGCTACACCCACCTACTGGTGGAGCCAGCATACAATGTAATGGCTGGAAGAAGGCGTGTCTCACTCTTGCTGGTATCCACTTGCTGTTTGCAACCACCATGAACTGTGGCTCTGCCATGCCACCCTGCCTTGGAGCCAACTAAGTGTGGACTGAAACCTCCAAAAACTATAAGAAGTAAACCTTTCCTTTGCTAATTTTGGGCATCAGGCATTTTGTCTTAGCAACAAGTAAAAAGTAACTTAGGCAGCCACTTACCTGCTGTGGGTACCAACTCTCCTTAACATAGGATGATGACAATGATAATCTTTGTCTCCGTCACTTTCCTCATTGCTAGGGCAAAACACTTGACACCACAAAAGGTAAAGAGAGCTTTACTCTGGCTCAAGTTTCAGTCCATGACTGGCCCATTCCAAATCAGCAAGGCACAGGGAAAAGTACTCACTACAAGAGAGCTGAGAGGGCTAGAGGAAAGGGAGGGAGGAGGCTGTGGCTGAGTTACAGCCTGCCAGGCTAAGCCCCCAGTGACCCACCACTTCTAAGCAGACCCCAACTGCTGACAGCACCCCTTGATCCAATTGCTTTCAAACATCCCACCTACTGAGCCCTAGGCTTTGGGAGGACATGAGATGTAAACCACATCAGTAGCCCGTATCCCTCAGAGTATTGCTACAAAGACCAAGTGAAATACCGCAGGAGAATGCCTCCAAATGTAACTATTCATAATTAGGATGAAGCCCTCAAACTACCTGAAAAACTGCCTCTCCTCTCCACTTTCCCAGGTCCTCTTCTCAAGGCTTAAAACTGGACATATCAACGTGAGAAAGTTTCTGAATCTTAACATTTTCCAATGGGCAATTTGCCTCAGATCTAAAATTCCCTTATATAATAAGGCAACATTACACAATCTTAAAAATCTCTGAGGGTGATTTCTGACACATTGTCATCATCCAAGATTTACAGGGCAACTTTCTTTCTGCTCACAACAGCTAATAACTATACCACACACTCCACATCTTCCTGTTCATCCTTCAGTTCTTTCCCCTCACCACATAGATCTCAATATTAACCCACTACCTGCCTTCAGTGCAGGATTTTCACCTCACAGCTGGCTTCCCCTTTCAGCAGACTTCACTTTTATGAATCAGTGTGAGTGTTAAGTTCCTCCTCTGTCCTGCTTTGGGCAGAGTAACTTCAGTTTAGAAGCAGAGAGAACACAGGTTGGAGTGAACATCAGAGAAACGGCATTCGGGTTACACACTGCCAATCATTTAGGAGGGCGGAGGATACTGCAGGGGAGTCTCTTCAGGCATACTACGCAGGCTGGATCTTTCCACGGATGTCCTTTCATTTAAACAAAGTAGCGTGGCTCACAGATAATGAGCCTAGGGTTACCTGTAAAGCTCCTGTCCTTTATAGACTATGGTCTAAATCATCTTCATTTTTAAGTTACCCTACATCAACTGTATTCCAAAATTTACACTCAAATAACTAAGCAGTATCCAGACAGATAGCATGTGTGTAGCCAGTAACAGGGATACTTACTATCGCCTCTACTCTGCAAGAATATCTGAGACACCATCTCTGTACAAACCAGGAACCAGGGATCCAGGGCCAAATTTCACTTTATCTCTCTTTGAGAAAGGGCAGTATATTTTGCATAAATGTCTTGTGAAAATGAAATATGCAAAAATGCCAGGTCACAGAGGCAATATGGTGCTGATCATTTGAACAGACTAAGGAAGACATCATGAAAAACAGGCTTACTTAAAATTGCTTTCTACCCTGATTAGCTACTCTACTGCGCATATACTGGGCTCACCTGTTTTGTAAAGCAAGGTACTCCTCTATTTTATAACCCCACACATACACACTCCACTCCAAACAACCCAGCAACTCTTCAGTGTAAATCTCTCTGCAAAACTGTACAGACTAATTCTTGCATTTGTTGTCCATGCAGAGATCGGCTAAAACATATTCAGAATGACTTGTTTTTTCTCTTTGTGAAACTCTAGACGGAAAGAGACAAACCAGCTCCTTCTCCCCTTCTTTGCTGCACCCCTCTTCCCTTCAGAGCACCCACTACCTGAGAGCACGCTGCACATAGGAGGGCTCGTGGAACTGAAGCTCACTTACCATCCCAGCCCCCCTGACCTTTTCAGTTCTTATCCATAAAAATGTCAGTAAGACAGAAGGCAGTAATTGTTTGATTCAATTCTTTTTTGTTGTGATTTTAAAAGTACAAATATCATTTTTTCAACATAAATACACATTTCTAGGGAAAAAGTACTGTAATCTTAGTCACTGCCCAGCAGGAACATGTTTGATTATAGATCCTGGAGTCGGATCCTCCCTGAAGATAAGCTTTTTTAGCCCAGTTTGAGGACATTTTCAAACATAAGAGAGTGTTTTTCAAAGACACCCTTTTAGAGACGATTTAAACATGCCATTGATGAATGTCTAACTTACATCCAGGACTCCAGGCTATTGAAATGAGCTAGAATTTGACACCCAAAATACAATCGTGTTGACATACAAACATTGTATAAATTACTTTATCCGGCTGCAACAATACATCAGATTTTATCTACCAGTTTTCATCAGTCAATAAGTTACTAGTATTAAAAAGAAGAAAACAAATCTCAAGAGTGTTTCTTCTGACCCGAGGGTGAAGCGCACAGCCGCGCAGAGTCTGAGGAGCACCCCCCACAGTCACCACTGCACTCCGGGAGGGGTGCAGGCCGCAGGGTGCCCAGGATTCTGTCCCAGTGTGTGAAGTAAGGCGCGAAGTTGCAGTTAAACTGAGAGTGGTGCAGGTCGTGGTGCGCCACGCCCCCGTACCAGCCGAAAGGCACCAGTCTGTGCGTGGACCACGGGAAATCGTAGCCTGAGTGGTCCTCCACCGACAGCCAGATGTTGAGCACGTGGAAAGTAAGAACGGTGAGCGGGTGGCTCCTCAGCAAGGTGATGTTCACCATGTCAAAAAAGCCCAAGGAAAAGAGCTCCCAGAGGCTCATGTACTGCGTGGCCAGCGCGAACGGGGCCGGATTCTGGTGGTGCACCTTGTGAAAGGCGCGGTATAGCCAGGGCACCTTGTGGTGCAGCACGTGCCACACGAAGAACTCGCCGTCGAAGAGCAGCAGGCAGAGCAGGACATCGCGCAGGAGCTGCAGCAGCTCCGGGGCCTCAGGCGGCAGCAGACTGGGGCTGCAGAGCCAGTGGAGCAGCGTCACCGGGAACACGAAAACCAGGTGCTGGTACAGGGTCTGCCCCAGGCAGGGCAGCAGCTGCTGCACGGACGGCGAGAAATCCGGGTGGATCTTGAAGCGTCGCAGCGCAGGCACCCAGGGACTCAAGAAGTCCAAGACCACGAAGGGCAGGCAGAAACCCAGGTAGGTGACGATCGCGAAGATGACCGGGAAAAAGGGCGACTGGATGGGTACCTTCGAGGTCCTCAGACGATCCCAAAGGGGCTGCAGGAGTAGCTGGCCCGAGCTGCACAGGACCTGGAGCTCAGAGCTGTTGTGGCTGCTCATGGTGAAGCGGAGCCTGCAGCTGAGCAGTTAGCAGCTCCGCCAGCTTTTCTTAGGGATTGAGGCTCCGCCCCGCGTGATGTCAATAGACTTTTAGGGCTTTCAGCTACAGGAAATTTAAATACGTAAACCAAGGAGTTGCTTTTACTAGTCCTACATTTTGCACATCTAGACTCAATCTAGTTGTCTTATATATGATCGTATCCAGTAACACAAGCTTTTCATACGCACGCAGAAGTACGTTCCCTGTTTTCAATTTACAGGATACAACTGTACAGATCTACACTGGAGAGTTTCCATGAGTTTTAAACTTGGTGATGGGTCATCATCACTCCCAAGTTAATATTTCCAGCACCACGGGAAGATGCTACTCACTGCTTCGCTGTGCTTCCATCAAGACGCAAGCAGAGCTAGGTCGGAAAACTGCAAAGCGAAGGGCCTGGCGCCGTCAGGGTCCTGGCTGCGCGCGCCCTGGAGAGGTCCGAACCGCCGAGGAGTCCTCTCGGCGCCCGGAGCAGCGATCGGCTCTGCAGGTCCGGCAAGCAGGGCGGTCAGCCGGGGTCCGAGAGGAGCTTCTGGCCAGGCTGGAGGAACCTCGCACGCAGATTTGACGGGAGGAGCCGCAGCCCTGGCACCGAGGAGAGGCTGCCAGCCCGCGCCGGATGACCCCCCTCAGTGCTACGCTCGGGGCGCGGGGTGCGGGGCACGGTGGGTTTCACGCCCAAAGCGCACGAGAGCGCGCTGAAAAGCCGTCGCGCCCCAGTGATGGACGGAAAGGACTGAAACCGCTAACTTCTACCTGCTCGGAGCTCCTGGAACCCCGGGAAGTTGGGAAGGAGCCCTCTCTCCTCTTCCTGCCCTTCCCTGGTCTACAGCCCGGTTCCCTCTTGCTCAGTGCTGCTTCTCCAAAAAGCAACTCTTGGCCCAAACAGCAGAACATAGTGATTATTTTTGGCCACAAATCTTTGATTGGGCCGGGAACTGAACACAAGACAGTCTGTATTAGGGAAGTTCTGAAGAGACTCTTCACATAGGTGCAAAAACAAAAACAAAACAACAAACAACAAAAACCCTCTGCCTTTAGCCCAGGTTGTGGACTCAACACGCAAGAGAGTCTTAAAAGATCTGACCTTTAAAAAAATAAATAACTAAATGTGTTATTTGCAGAGAAATGGATGCAGCCTGAGACCATAATGTTACATAACACATGAGCTGAAATAGTGTATGGTTGCTCCGTTATGAGAAGTCCAAATTATAAATAAAGAGCGAAATGAAGCCAGATAATAGGGCATAGGGCGGTAGATCTTTCTTAAATGGAAAAGAATGAAGAAATGGGAAGAGGGGAAGGGTGAAAAAAAGAAATCAAGCCATTTATACCAACTCCACACAAGAAATGTAAACATTGTACATTGCAAACACTTACTAATAAGATTTTTTTTAAGTTTTAGATAATAACTTTGAAGCCAGGGACTACTCTGGATCCCAGTGTTTGACATTCCTGTCTATGAGTCTGAGGTCGGCCTTCCATTCACTTGCTTGCCTTTGCTCATCCACTCAAAAGGAAGCAACGACAATAATCATCATCTTACCTGCCTGTTGGGAGCATTCAGTGGAAAAATAATAACATCCACTGTGTAACACCGAGCATTAGCTAAGCATTTTTAATTGAAGGATTTCGTCCAATCCTCAAGAACTATGCTCCCCCTCTGACAAGTAGGAGATAGTCATTATTATTGTAAATTTAGAGCATTAAAACCACAGTACCTTATACACAAAATTAGAAGCACATTCTTTTAAATTTTTACTTCACATTTTACCTAAAGAATAATTGAAATGACTGAATTTAAAATCAAATGTTTGTGTAATAAGAAACAAAGATGTAAAACCATGTATTATAGAGAAATACTATAAAAACATAGACTGACACGTAGGCCTAAAATATAATGATATATATGACAGGTATGATACAGGCCAATTTATAAAATGTATATGATATGTGCATCATAATAGACATTCATAATTCAGAGTCTGCCACTTTGTGTTGCAGAACCGCCATTCATGGAATTTGGATATTCCTCGGATACCCACTCTTGGGATACCTAAAACAGTGGTGGTGAACCTTGGGCACAATTGCCATAGCAGGCTGTATGTTATCACTGAAAGCACTAGAAGGTTCGCCATCGCTTCATAGGTCATAGACCTTTGTGGTACAGCATCCACTTTAAACTCCAGTGTACCATAAGAATATTATCCTGCGTGTCCAGTTGCTATTCATAGTGCAAAGGGTCATACACAGCTTTGAGCTTTTTGACAGCCAACACGAAGGAGAGAAGACAGATTTCTAATGTAGCTCTGATGTCTAGAAGGTAGCAGAAAACAGGTCCAGTGCAGGCCCCTGGCCTCTTTCCGGGCAGCTTTCCTCCCGTGGATAAACTCCCTCTCCAGATCTGTCACTCCCATCCCAGTGCTGTTCCACTTCACTTTTAGGGCAACTTAAGAACTTTCTTCTTTCTATTCCTGGTAGACTAGAATGTCTACCTTGCTGTGATGCCTCAGAGAAGACAAAAGATTTTCGATCCTTCATTCTTGTGTCCCCTGGGAGCTCTAAAAGGACCATCAGATTTCTCAGAATTACAAATGCATTCTCTTAACAAATGTCATTCAAACTGACCCTCAACAAATTAAGTCAGCAGTCCTTTCATGTGAGCACACAGTGTCCTTTCCCTGGCTGTAGTCTTGGTTTTCATGCCTCGGTGCCCTGGATACTCTTGCAGAATTTTTTGAGTGGGTGGCATCAGCAGGTAAATATTATTTGGACTTTGCTGCTGGATTTGCTGTCAGGACTGCTTCTCTGACCCCCAGACCAGTGAAACTGTTCTTGCCTGCTTTGGTGGCTCTATCCTCTGTTCCTGCTAGAAAAGCCTTCAGGTGCTAAAGTCCTCAAAATCTAAGAAGATGGGTGTCAGCCGCCAGAACCCTGACTTCACAGCACTTTCAAGAAGAGCAGGCAGGTTCTCAGCCATTCTGGCCATGAAGCCCACCAGGACGGAAGCTGTCATCCTACATACAGGTTCGACCATCTCAGGGAAACTGGTCAGGGAAAATCTTTTTAGTCATCTCTCTCTTCCATGAAGGACGCGGCAAAGGTAATCACAGTACGTCAGATTATCAAAATCAGTCAACCTGGAATGGACCAGAATAAAACTGAGTCCTCTACAGTGATTATAGCAGAGCCACTAATTGAATTTCACAAGATTATACTTCTAAATACTACCTATGCACAAAAATTTAATATCTTTCCAGGTAAGTTACTTTAGGCAAAGTTGTTATCTTCTAAGACATTTTCCTGTGGCTCTAAATGTTAACTTTTTTTTGGCAAGAGATGAAACCCAGGCCCTGCACGTTCTGAGCCTGTGATCTATCACTGACCTGCACCTGCAGTTCCAAACACTGTATCTTATACATAATGAGTGTTCAAAAGATACTAGATGTTCCTTTTCAAAGATACAGGCTCTCAGCTACTTCTAAGATAACAATATGTAATTTATCAACTAGTGACTTCTTACCTTTTTTGTAAAATTCTGTACTATTTCTACCCTTATTGTTTTGCGTTTTTCTCTAAATAAAAAAAAAAATAAAAGATATTGGCTCAAAAGTGGGACTAAAATAGAATCTTTTTTCCTAGAACACTAGTAGATGTAGTTTTTTGGTCTGGTTTAAGCAGGTGGAGATTTTCTGGTCTCAGAGAGCACTAGAGCTTTGGCCACACTATTTCTTGTACTTCTCCAGTTATGACTTCTTATGTTTCATTTTTATCTTAACAATCTCTCTGACAGCGTGAGAAGACAGGAATCTTTTCTTCTCTAGTTTCCACAAGAGTCAAATACTTTCTTGAGATTATAAGTATCTGCAAATCTAACATGCTCTTGGAATTATTTGATAGCAACTTACCAAAAGACATTAAATACTGCCCTAACCACTGCAAACAGACTACATACATAGTTGGCAAAGCTTTCAATTTACAACTTTTTTCTAAAAACCTATCTGAAATCACTCTTCCTGGATATCAGAGATGTACAATAGTGTGTATGTGTAATGTATAAGATTCATAGAAGTAGAGTAATCTCAAAAATCTGAACCTAGCTCTGCATTTTAAGACTAGTGGTTAAAATTTCTGTCTCAGAAAAGTCAAGACCATCCAGGGTTAAACAGTAAATTATCGGCAAATTGAGCAGCACCAGGCAATGTCAACAGCACGTTAAGTATCTCTTCAGGAAGAGTCTGTTAAAAGGGGGTATGGAAGCTGTTTTTATGTTTCAATCTACAAAAGATTTAGAAAACACGAAGTAGCCACAGGAAAAACAGTAAATACTGATGAAAAAGATGAGAACTATTCACTCCCCCAAGATGCTCCCTCAAAGCTCTTACAAATCGAGATTTTGATACACATTTTGATTCTAAGCACTTCATGTTTTTGATCCATCCATATAACATGTAAAACATTTAACACACATGAAATCATCCCCAATAAACAAGAAATAATACTACTCGTCCACTGTCAAAAGGTTGTTACACTGATCAAAATGTTATGCAAGGCTTTACAAACCCAGATGGCACAATGACAATGAAAATGGTTATTTTTACAAACACTAAGACAGCTCAGCAGAGTTACACTTTTACCTCTTAGTTTAGAATTGAACTTGGTATCTGCGCATCTATAATTCAATAAAGAATAACTGGCAATTTTTATCAGAACAATTATTAACACAATGTTACCTGTGAAGCCTCACAAGAGATCATGTTATTTTGAAAAATTTTATGTTGATATTTAACACATTTGTATCTTTAATGGCCACCCACATGAAATAATTTTCATTATTTTGAGACACTGCCACTAACTTTTGGTGCCTAATCAAGGTGAGTTAAAGTCTTCAAGTGAATCAAAGTCTTCTCCATTCCCCAAGTTCTGATCATCCATTAAACTATTTGATAAATTCCAAAGTTCTGATCATCCATTAACCTATTTCATAAATTGTTACATTCAGGTCACATTTAGGGTTAGCTTTTCCTCGAGAATACTTTTCAAGTGCCATTCATTAGGCAAAATTTATTCTAATACTGGAGGCAAAGGAGCACAGCCAGAGCTGGCCTGACATAGAATCAACTACCAGCCTGCTTATGAAGCTGCCAAGGTTTCTTGTTTCCTCATAGGAAAGCCCCAGAGAAATCCTCAAGTGCTGGAGGGGTCAGGGAGCATGAAGGAGGAGGTGAAGGCAAAGGAATTAAGATGTCTCGTGTACATGTACAGATTCCTAAACAGTAAACGTAATCATTATGTACTGCAAACATGTACTCATGAAAATTAATCGCAAAAAAAGAATTATGAAAAAGCAGAGGAGTAAAATTCAATAAAGGCAACTTTCTGAAGGAAAAAAAAAACTGTAGGGGACTGGGGAACATTTGCGTGCAAAGCCAAGAGTGCCCTCTGGTGGCAAATAGAAATATGAATTTTTTACTCATTAAATTTTTTTTTTAAGAGAAGAATATATTTTTTGAGAGAAAGAAAGCTTCTGAGAGACACAGAAGGGGTCTTACATGGGTTGCCAGGGACCCTGTCTTTTCTAGGGACTTTTATAGAGTAAAATCATGAAGTGAGATGGGTCCAACGTGGGGAAAAATGGGAACTTACAAGGTGGGCATAAAGTGGGATAGAACTGTTAACCAATAAGAGTGATTGCTCAGGTAAAACTGATTGAATTAGGAAGAAATGGGGGGACAAGTCACCTGGTAAGCGGCATGCTTAACAGCAGTGACCCTTCCTCTAGGGAGGTGGGATGCTGACTCCTGACTTCCTCAGGGTGAGGGAGAACTATTTCAACTGTCATTTCTTAGGACGTGGATGTATTTGCTTGATCCTTTGTCTTGAGATCTTGCCCACAGAAGGAGGTGCCTGTCTCCTCTAAGTTCATAAGACATTTGGTCCTCTGTGCCAGCTCCCTTGAGGACCTAGCCCTGTCTGACCACCTATAATATTTCTAACTGACTCAGCTACCTGTAACATTCCCCGCTCTGAAGAAGTAACCCTAACTGCCGTGAGCGGGTAATGGGCAATGACCAATCTGGGTTCTTCAGGCTGAAGGGGGTGGTAGTTGTTGAAAGACAGTCAAAGTTACTTCTGCAAAGGTTCTATCTAGAGGCCCTTGATAGACACCAGGCATTTTCATCTTGGGTAAGCATACAGCTTTAAGTTTGGAGGAGACAAAGCCAAAGAAACAATTAAGTATGCATGGGCCAAATAATAGAATCAACAGGATAATTATGAGTATACTTAACAAAGATTTCCACCAAGAAGAGCTAGTAATGGCTTCCTATAAGGAGGAAAAAAAGATGAGGTTTGGGGAATTTTAGTCTAATATGTCATTAATTTGTTGTCTAATATCTTGAACAGCTACTGAGATATTAGCAGAAGAATCAGGAATGAACACACAGAATGCAGTTTTTACAATTTCACAAGTGCCCCCCCCCGCCGTGCTGCTGTTAGAATGTCTAATGCCACCCAATTTTGGAGGACAGCCTGTTCATTAATTTTATTTACCCCACCTACAACATCAATGGTCCAGAAGTGTGTTTCACTGGTATGATCACCTGGCCTGACTTTATCCCTTCCCTACAATTAGAAGAAGTCATGCAACATATCAAGGCCTTAATTAAGTATACTCAGCAGGCCTTAAATGACACTGCTGCCAGTCTCTCTCTCCTAAATGAACAAGCAAAATTAATGGGACATTCTTAATTGTGATTCATTTCATAACCCTTTGCTTTCTGCTGTAAACACAGTATCTTAGAGAAGAGTTCCACGTCGGCAAGACTTGTGTAAATCTTAGGGTAGGGACCTTTGTACATTTTTGTGTTCTGCTCAACAGAAGATGTATCAAGGCCTGCTGAAAACAACCTCTGGAAAATTGTCACAAAATGTGTTATAGCTGAAATTCTGACTCTCAGCTAATGATGAATGGAGCTATGTTAAGATTTTGTTTGTTTGTTTGTTTGTTTGTTTGTTTTTTTAAACAAGTCTTGCTATGCAGTTCAGGCTGGCTCTGAATTCACTGTACAGCACAGGCTGACCCCAAAGTTGCAGGGATCCTCCTGCCTCTACCACCCAAATATAGATTTACAGGTGTGTACTGGCACACCTGATAATAAAACTATGTTAATACATCCAGGATTTGAAGGCTACAAAGGAATTTTACTGCTGCTTCTAGATAAAGAAGCTACCAACAAAAGTAAGTGAGAAATGTTACTCAATGGCTGTGCAATATCCCCATCTCTATATGGTCCATTCATTCTTTTTTTAGAAAAGTTCCCAAGGCAAAGTTTGGAAAGAAAGCAGTGGAAAACAGGCAAGTAAAAAGTACACTTTTGAATGTACCTGTTAATGATTTATCTCTAGATGCATCTAAATCCTCATGTGTTCATGAATGGGGCTTCTGAGAATGATTAGATCATGGGTGTGTAACACTTATCAGTGGATCATCTACTAATGTGTCTATACTTAACTATGATTTGGAGGTCCCTGCAGACGTGGCCTGGAAGGATCTATCTCCCTTTCTCTTCTCTTGACCCCTCTCTATGCTTGCTGCCTGCCATGTCCATCTGCCATGCTGACCAGCCTTGCAGCCAGCCAACTTTTCCTCCTTAAATTTTTCAGGTGTCAGGCATTGTGTTTCAGGGATAAGAAAAGTAGCTAGACAAATTCTGGTACCAAGAATAGGGTCGTTGCTATGAGGCTACATGACCATGTGGTTCAGAAGCCTTTTGAACTGGATTCATGAGTTTGAAAAAGGATTGGAAGTGCTGGCTAGAAAACCAGCCCTAGAATGCTGTGAACCAAACTTGATGGAAGATACTGGTCGAAGCTCAGAAAACAGAATGTGATGTAAAGCAACCAAGCAGACCAACTTCAAGAGGTTTCGGTTGGGAGGGCCTCCACTGGCAGTTGGACTTCAGGCCCTGTGTGTAATATTAGGACAGAAAAATTCATCTGAATTTTGCTCATGTCCAGAGACTTTGCAGGCAACTGAGATTAAAGACAGTGGTCTGATTAATCTGGTGGTGGAAATTTCAAGGCAGTCAAATACGCAGACTGTGGTTTAGGAACTGTTGGGAACTTTAGTCAGCTCTACACCGAGAAACAACCAGAAGAATGATTTAAAACATACTGAGTTTGGCCAGAAAGGAAGCTCCAGTAATGTTGGGGCCTACACAGAGGGAGCAGAGACCTTGGTTGCTGAAAAGACTTGTGTTAGAAAGAAGGCAAGTATGGGGCTGGGGTTTAGCTCAGCGGCATAAGCGCCTGCCTTGAAAGCAGGCAGTCCTGAGTTTGATCCCTGGTACCCATAAAAACGAAAAAGACAAAAAAAAAGAAAGAAGGCAAGTACTTTAGAACTGGGAACAGGGGAAATCCAGAAGAGCCCATCTTTTATGGACTTAGGCAGAAAAGTGAAAGCCCTGTTCACTCAGGAGAGTTTTCTCAAGTTGTGTGCAAGAATTTAGCTAATCACAAGCTAACAAGGGCATCGCTGGGGGCTCCAATAGCAACAGCCACAGTAAAAGGAGCCCCATCAGCCCTGGCACTGAAGTCTTTCTCTGGGGAATTCCCCCCACTCCTGGAGAAAACAACAAAAATGCCCACTCATGGCCCTCCTTATTTTGTGATCAGCCCTACCCAGGAGGTATCTGTACATGGCTGGTCAAATCAGTTTGCCTTAAAGGCAAAAGGATAGCTCCTTGGAGGAATATATGGCCACAAGGTGATGCACATACCCTATGTGGTATGACTTCAATGTTTTCTATAGCTGCCATATGAAAATCACACCAATTCTGTATCAAGACTCTCCCACATGTTACTTCTGTTTCTAATTTCATTTCATAAATGTAGAAGCTCACTGTTTCAGTTTGTCAATCCATATACATTTATTGACTCACTATCCTGCAGGCTCTCAGTTAGACTTTGGGTCATAGAGATGATTAACATATATCTTCTGCCCTCAAGTACACAGGGCACAGGGCCTCAAATCTGTGTTTGAGGGCCCGTATGATACATGCTGTCTCTGCTGGCTTCAGTTCTCTCCTTTGTTCAAGGATGTTAATTCCTCAGCCCTGCGGTCCTACCGTGGCCAGCCCTGCCTCTAGAGGTTTCATTACTGTCTGATCCCCACTCGTGGCCTCATTAACACGGCCCACGCAAGGTAACATCTGAGCCTGAGTTTCCAAACTACCCCCCAGCCCTCCTTGGATTCGGGACCCTTTCCTTCTTCCCCTAAGAGAAGAACAAAGATTCATAGTCAGCATCAATGAGGTGCACAAGGAGGAGGGAGGAAGGGGAGATGAGAAAGAAAAGCCCTGTGAGAAGAGAACAGGAAGAATGAAATAGTCACTTTAAAAAAAAGAGAGAAAACAGACAATTCTTAAGTCCTATGAATCTCAGTTTTATTGAAAAGTTTCAGTGAAATCATTTACTGTTACAGTAGGATTTTATCTGCATGTAGCCAATACTAACATTGTTATTGCAGTGAAAGTAACTACATCAGAAAAATATATCAATTGTCTTTTTGTCCACCTGACAGCGTCACAAGGAAATAAACAATGCTGCAAGAAAAGCAGATAAATACAGGCTTCCAGATACTGGAATGCAAAGCAGGGTTACAAAAATACACACAAGACTAAAGTAAAATATGAAATGAATTCCTGAGCTAAACTTTAATCTGAAAACATTCATATTCACATTTTATATGAGTGAAAATGAACTAGGACACTTCACGGGGGACCACAGGGCTTTGGCTTCACAATGACATCACCACTGAGTGACAGCAGTTGGTTCAGAGTTCCATACAGTCTCTCCAGAGCACTTTTCTCCTGAGACAAACAGACTGCCTGCTATGCAATCTAGAGTCCACAAATACAGACAGCTGAATGTATCAGTTTTCAAGTTGTTAATAACTGAGGTTTTTTAAGTCAGTGCAATCTGTGCTTCAAGATCCCAGCAAGCTATTTTGCTTGCCCTGAGCAATTTAAGCATTTTCTAAACATTTGTTATTGTGGTCTAATAAAATTCATTATAGAATCTTTACTACTGGCACATGACAGCACTGAACATGATAAAGTATCTAAAATATAAAAATAAGACAAAGTTTTATTTAGATCTCTAATATAAGACAATTAGACAAAGGAGTCCTTTAAGAAAAGGAGATGAGAACTCAATACTTTTATACTGTGCTTAAGTCAGTGACAGATTGTTTAGCAATAACCAACACAGTGTATTGCATGTATTAATTTATCCTGGGTAGGGGTTAAAAAAAAACAATAGAATAGATTTTAAATTGTAAGGAGAGACAAAATAGTTATACAGGTCTTCTCATATGTCAATGGCATTTTTTCAAGACTTAAAAAGACGTTAGTGACACTAGCTTCATATTCACCTATAAGTAGGTAAAATATAGCTGATGTGGTTTGAATTCTAACTATGGAGGACTGGGCATCTTCAAAGTCATAATTTTCTTGCACACAAAAGATGTGGGAAAGGAAAAATCAGTATCTTTCAGAAATCAAGCAAACACATTTTCAGATGACTTGCTGGCACAGGTCTGAAATTTTGTTTTCATGGATATTTCCTCATCAGATTAATGATTTCATTGTACATCTTCCCAGGGGCATCCAAGCCCCAGATAAAGTCAATATGATCCCACTCAGGAATTTTCTTGTGGTACACCAGGTTGGGGATCTGAGTCAGTAAGAGGCTGACATCGCTGGCATCTGCGAGCCAATCGTGGCCTCCGCTCCAGAGCGCAGTGGGCACGAACATGTCTTTCACTCTGTACACAGGCGGGTAAGTCTGCATGCAGAGAGAGACGCAGAAATAATTGTTACAATTTTCAAAGTCACACTGAACACAATCTCCATAAAACACTGTCTAGGAAGTCTGATCTGAGCATAAGAGACTGAATTTTTGAAATCTGTTTCAGAACCCTTTCAGGTTGCCTTTACCACAGCAAAAAGTAATCCAACCTGCAATGAAAGAATCTGTGTTACTGCACACTGGTACTATCATGACTGTTTAATACCCAGTGAAGAAACCATTTTTCTCATCAGGGAGTAGCTGCTACAGGAGAACAAGTAATTTGGAAAGGTCTTTGGAGTAATACTTTCTTGGAGTAAGACAAGTCATAGAAGTTCTCTAAAACTCATTTTTCCTTCCTCCCTCCCTCTCTCTCTCTCTCTCTCTTCCTCTCTCTGTATGAGGAATTGAACTTAATAGCTTATGCTTACTAAACAGGCATAGTCCCACTGAGCTAAATCCCAAGCCACAGTTTTTCCACCTTTAAATCAGAGATAACTACATTTATATAACAAGATATCGAAGAAATAAGTAAAATGTTGCATAGTTTAGTTCACTGAACATACAGAACACGAACTTGCAGGGAGAAGAAGAAACACAAGCAATGTAATACGGCTAGGGTCCCAAAGGTGGCAGGTTACGGATGAAGGGTGCACCCATGATCACTCAGCATAATGCATAACAGTGCCGATTCATTCCTGTAACCAGGAGAAGGAGAAAGGGAGGACACCCAGCGTACAACCACAATGCAAAGCCTGGGTCATCCTGAAGCGGACTGAGGGAATCTAACACTGCCTAGTCAACCTTCCGAAAGCAGGAGCCCACCCAGAGTCCTGACAACCTGGGCACTTCCTGGAGGAGTTCTCAGGGCCCATTCTAATGCAAAGAATGAAAACTTTACCTGGTTGTAATGAAAGTAATTCTTGGTACTGCTTCCCCAGTCAAAGGCTTGAAACTTTTGGTATCTAAAAGTCTAAAAAGAAGATGAATTAGAAAAATGTTATCTGACATTGTAGACTGAAATAACTTCAAAGGTTGTGAGAGTTGCTTGCATCCTCAGAAATCAATCTTATACCAAAATCCAGATATCCTCTCCATTTCCAAACCATTATTTAAAATAAAATGCATTCTTTTGGTTTGCTTTATCACATGACTCAGTTCTCACGGACTGGAAAACCAGTACTACATGACCCACGGAAGCAGTCACCCACGCAGAGCTGAGCTGCCCTGGACCCACAGCTGCTCCTGTTGATAAACTTCATCTGCATGGCTATTTCCCACTGAAGTCTGCATCTTAAATTTTTTCAACAAGATAATGATTTTCCTTGGAGATAAACACTCACAGGGTCATGTGTCACAAAATGCCATTTCAGACTTCAATGAGTTACTATTATAATCGTCCTGAAAGAGTATATCAATGAATTATATTGTAGCTGTGTAGTCTGTGCGGGTATACTCTATTATATACGAATAATGATGAAATTATCTAACACACATTCCTCCAGAATATATTTTTACTGTTAGGAGATACCTGACATATATATTTCTATATGTTTATATAATTTTCTACTATGTTATTTTTCACATTTTAGTGATTTTATTGATTTAATACTGTTTTTGAGTCTAGTAGCACTACAATCACCAAACATTTTACAAGCCAGTACAATTTTAATTAATTAGGGATACTAGAACTATGAAATGACAGTATGTATAAAATTTTAACCTATGTCTATTTGGAAAAGTGTGACATCAACAAAAGTCATTTCTTTGTGAAATTTAAAATAATGCAAATTCTTACTTCCACCACACCTCCAAGTTAAAGTATGTCAGGAGTTAAACCCTAAACTGACAGATCAAATAAATTAGAAACTGCAAGTTTTGGCCATGTGGTGGCGCCTGGCACAAGAAGAAAAGAAAAAAGTGCCCACAGGTGAAGTTTCAGTTCTAAACAATTGTATAAAATTCTGTTTGATACAATAAAAGGCCTCGTGGGATTGGATACTAAAGATGACTGCTACAGGAAAAATGCTTTCACCATCTCTTTTGCCATTGCAAATGAGACACATTAAATACATATTAAACACACGGCATATTTAACAAAATATGGCTTTATAGAACATATGACCACATTGCTCTTTTTTTCTAATTGTCAGTGAAAATTCACAAGTGTGAGTTGCCCTGCCCTGGCACAGACATGCCAGGTTACTCCCTTCTCCCGTATGTCTTCAGCATTTATATCAAGCATCAGGAGTGAGTACAGAACACAGACTGAATTTGACTTTTGAGCTCAGTCATTCAGGACTTCCAAGGACTCACCTAAAAGGACATGTCCAAAGGAGGGAAGTGTGGAGATTACTTAATCTAAGTAATTCGAAAGGTTAAAGTCCAATAGTAGATACTCCGCAAATATACAAAAGCAGTATGGTACTCTCATAATTATAATAAAAATATAAACAAAAAAATATTTATAAATCATTCCCATAAATAATGCTAAGTGAAAAATTCATGAAATTAAATATGTACTATGTATGTGTTTTTGTAATAATCCTCAGTAGATAAATATCAGGAAAAAAGGATTACAGTATTAAAATATACAGCTTTAAAGTGGTATTTTTAAAATTATTAAGTCTCTAATGGTTATGAAAATGCAAATAGATTAAATTTTTCGAAAGCATGACATGTATCTGAAACCTTGAAGATATCCTTACCCTCTCACTACTATGTCCACTTCTGTGGAATACATGTATCATTTTAAGAAAATAATCTTCTTGATTATAGGATAGATATATTATACAAGACTATTTCTCCCAGTACGGCTGACCATGGCAATGAAACTATGATGCAAGAAAAAAATACAGAAAAAATAAAACTTACACGACGGAAGACTGTTTTTCACTATCAGTATATTAAAAATTTATTTACTGACCTGTAAAAGCATATTTTCTTTTATTATGGCAAAAACTACCTGATCCTAGTGCCCATTCGTGCCTTTGTCCTTTCAGTAATGGAATTCCTAAAGCCTACTCAAAACTGCCAGGACAGAAACCATCCTCGTCTCCCTGTGAGCAGCACAGCTGTGGCTTGAGGTGACCTGAGGTGACCTTCGCAGCTATCCTGGTAGGCAAAGCCACAAGGCTTCCTCTCTCCCGCCTCACTATGGAGGATGAAGTGAGCCAGCTTCAACTAGGCAGGAAGGGCAGCACCCCAAGAGCGAAGTTGAAATTTGGGAGCCTGCATGACCTCATGCAGCGTGATAACAACCTTCCTCTCCCACCAGCCTGAGCTGCTAACCTCCACACTAATCTCAGAGAAAAACTATTGATTTAGTGGATATATTTTAGGTTTTCCGAAACAGCAACTTCGCCTGTATCTAACAAATACTACACTGTTTAACTGACAGTTACTTAAAAAGTTCATAGGCAGTATGATCCTACTTTTGTAATGGAAATGATATCAGAAAGTGAGATTATACCAAATTACTAGTAGTGATTACTGTTTGGTAGTAAAGACATGCTAAACTTTCAATAAACATATATTACATGTACAACACAAATTATACTAAATTATTTTACAGCATTCGTAAAAGCCAATCAACTATACGTTTTGGATATTGTTTTCCAAAAAAACATAGTAAATTTCAGAATAATGAAGGACAACAGAATGATCTAAATTAGCTAACTAGAGGCTGGAGATTTAGCTCAGCGGCATAAGCACCTGCCTTGCAAGCAGGCAGTCCCCGGTACCGATAAAAAAGAAAAAAAAAGTATAAATTAGCTAACTAAAATGTAGATTCCAGGAACACTCCCCCAGAATCTCCCAAAAAGACTTGGATAGGCCTCAGAATCCGCATTTTTATTAGTGCCTTAAGTAACTGTGACTAACGCTGCAAAGATGTGTTAGGATTGGCCTTCTCCCAACAGAAGCAACTTGGTATGGCCACCACAAAGGTCAGAATATAATAAGCATTAGCTTGAAGGACCTGTGAAATTCATCTGTTTTTTTAAAGAAAATAGGAAGATTTATAAACTACCTTTAAAAGCCTAGACAACTAGATTTGGGAAGTTGATAAGTGAATGCTAATTATTTAAACAAAAAGTGAACTTCTGAATGTACTCGAAGTAGCAGTAAAGGACACCTCTGTAGGACAGTAGAGCCTTCAAACTCCGTACCTGAACTGGGCCTCCAGCCTGCAGCGCCAGGCTCGCACACTCTCAGGGATCTACCCCCAGAATGGAGGTTTCTGGTCGACCATCAGAAGCGGCCCATAGCCAACAAGGCTGTTCTTACACTGACCAAAGGGAGGCAGAAGGACAACAGACAAGGCTGCCTTCTTCGGTGAATGGGGCTTTGGAAATGTTCACAAGGCACATTCCAGTGTGGTTAACCCAAACTACAAGGTTGCAACAGGCCCTGGACCACAGCCTGAAGCCTTTGACGCTCCTGGATCTCAGCCTGAAGCTTTTGACATTGGCCAGCTGCTTGAATCAAGGGCTGGAAAAAGAACAGAAGTCACTCTCCCACAGATCCAGTTCTGGGAGGCCTGAGACACACAGTGAAACAATGCCATTATGTAATAGACGGCAGAGTGGTCTTCAGACAGCCATGCTTTCCACATTCCCACAGCTCTCACAGCAGGTCTGGCAGACACTGGCACTTTGCTGAGGCATGCAATGTTATCACATGTGCGCAGCTAGCGGTCACTAAGCTGGTGACTAGTTTAGCATCTGCTTTCAACCTAACTTAGTCATCCTTTCTGCATCTCTAAGAGCATTCTGTTAAGAAAATTGTACCTTTTGGAAATATTTCTACTAGGTAGGCAATACACATTCTCAAAAATGTATGGGAATTTGATTGTCACAGTACATGAAGAAAACAAAAGATTGATTTTTAAACTGAAATCTGACTGAGGAGAATGGCAGCTGAAGGTCTGGGGCATTGCTTAAGGGGTCAGGGAATGCTGCCAGGATGGCACAATGGACTTGCATTCCACAAGCCCTCTTCTAAGCTGGAGCTTAGAAGAGGCATTTAACATTCTTCTTTCTGGTCACTGTAATGAGCTAAGAGCCTCCAATCAGGTCCTGGCTCCTTGGAAAGGAGCCTCAGTGAGAGGGGCTCCTGTGCTAAGTGTTTGGTGCCATTCTGCCTATAGAAGTGCTCCAGGGACAACTGGGGAAGGAGATGAAAGCATCAGAGATGTTCCAAATGCATCACTCCCAAATCTAGTTATGAAGAAAATTCTGCCATGCAGTTTTTAAAAATGTGAATCCTTAAGAACAAAAAGGACGGAGCTACTGCTATGTATATAATGTGGCTGAATCTCCAAACAAGCACACTGGGTGGAAAGTGTATGGCTATACTTAGACAAACGAGAAAATACACACTGATGCACATGACAGAAAGCAGATCATTGGGAGGGGAAAGAGGCAGTTAGAAAAGAGCAATGAATGAACTGACTATGACGGTGGATGCTTATAACCCCAGAACTCTGGGAGAATGAAGGAGGATCACAAGTTTGAGCTCAGCCTGAGCAACTTAGTGACATCTGTCTCAAAATTTACAAAATGAAAAGGGCTGTGGATGCCGCTCAGTGCAAAGGCCATGAGTTCAATTGCCAGAACTGTAAAGAAAGGGGCTAATAAGGGAACATTCTAGGAAGATGGATATCTTCACTAACTCAGTTTAGGTGTGAGGCTTAGCAGGTGTTTCCCTGTCTCAAAATATATAAAAGTATGTTATTTAAAACACTATGTCAATTGCATTTCAAAAAGCTGTTAAAATAGAATATATCGACTTCCAGGAGAACATGGCAGATAGATAGTAGCAGCTTCGGTGGCTCTCTGAGAAACCGCACTTAAAATCCAGGAATGGTGCCGGACAAGAAGTCCTAAGCAAGGGGAGATATACTTTGCCGACCCAGGAATGAACTAAACTAAGAGAAACCAACTGGAAATGCAATCTCGATGATAGAACAGGAACAGATAAGGTCTCAGCGCAGAAGCTGGACCCCACGCCACTGGAAGTTGCGATTTGAATTTCCTGCAGCCGCTGCTGCTTCCCAATTGGCATGGCAAAGAAAGAGATGCGAAAGCTCTGACAGTGGGAAGTGGGGAATGGAGTTGAAAGAGGGACTGGCCGGGAGCCCTGCATCGACCTGTGGTGAGTGAGTGGATCGGGAACCCTTCCATAGAGTAGGAGGCTTCACAAAGGACATAGTGGGACTGGGCAGACTAGCTGGAACAGGATGCTGCAGTGACTTCAGTCACATATTCCCCTCTCAAGTGGGACTGGTGGGGAGTGCCTGGCTTGGGTGACACCGCTGACTAAGACTCAGTAAGCTAGCCCAAACCAGGTCACAGCTCCTGGAGGTGCACCCTAGCAGTGAAGCCTTTGGTAGGTTCACCTGGAGGGGTGGGCCCAGCATAGGCTGCCCAGGTCTTTGTCTCCCTAGTACACTGCTGTGGGCTGGAACACCTAGCCGGTGCAATTCAAACAAACTGTAACCAACAAAGAAAGAAACTGGGCCTCCTATATATGCTTGTATAAAAGGAACAAAAAATATGGGAAGAGCAACAAGAAAGGGTCCCCGGCCCCCAATCCTGAGAAACATGCAATGTTAGACACGGCACCAATAGACATAAAGTACTATCTCGAGAGCCTCATAGACGAGTTCAAAAATAAAGTTATTAACAACCTGAAGCAAAATATAAGTGGAATAGTTAGAGAAATGCTAAACACCGCCCAAGAAAAAACAGATGGTGGAATAGAAGAACAGAAAAAAAGGGGAGAATTGTTTAATGGAGAAAATAAGAGAAAACATAGAATACGTGAAGCAGGTTCAAAGAGAATACCAAGAAACTAAAAACTCTATCAAAAACTGGCTTAACAGCTTGAAAGAAACTAAGGATAGATTATCTGAACTGGAGGGCAGATTTGTAATATGGGAGCATGAAACGAAAAACTTCTTAAAAATAACAAAAAACAAATAGCAACAAAGGCTAGAAGATGATAAGAGGATCTGTAACTTAAGAATTAAGAACATAAAAGAAGAAGTAGGGACACAAACAAATGGACTATAAAAGCTATTCACAGAAATAATCCAAGAGAATTTCTCTAATTTAGCAAATGGTAAAGATACTCAGATGTACAAGGCATACAGGACCCCAGCCACCTACAACCCAAACAGAGATACACCCAGGCATATAATAATCAAAATTCCAGAAATCCAATATAAGAACAGAATATTAAAAGCCATCAGAGACAAGAAACAATCGCTTACAAGGGAACACCCATCAGAATTATGGCAGACTCCTCGGCACAAACCATCAAATCACAAAAAGCGTGGGGGGAAATAATTCAAGCTTTGAAAGATAATAACCTCCAGCCAAGATTGATATATCCTGCACAACTGTCCCTAGAAATTGATGGAAAAACAAGGTGCTTCCAGGATAAAGAGGAACTAGGGGAATTTGCAACCACCAATTCAACTTTACAGAGAATACTGCAGGATAGTCTAAAAAAGGAAAATACCAAGATTCCAGAAATAGTGGTAGAGAGGCCACAATGAATGGAGCAGAAAGTGAAATAAAGAAGACATACTGACAACAAACGACAGAAAAAGAGCTCAACAGAAATGAGGCAGAGAAGATCGGATGGTAGGAACAGCTATTTTGGAGAAAACAAGACATCATAATAGCTAGTGCTGATTTAGTATCACCTTGTCTTAAGTCCCATCAAACTTGTATTCTTCTGTCTCCATCGGTCTTAAAAGGTTGTATCGTATTGCATTTTATTATATATGATAATATAAGTAAAAACTTTTATAGACAAGGAGATTATACAGAAACCATTGTTCATTTTCTGTTTATTGGTTCTAAATACCCTGTAATAATGTCATTCTCTTGAATGGTTTTATAATGTCTTGATATGTTTGTTGCTACAGTATACGAAGTTATACTCAAAGATTTCAAGGAAAGAGACACTATGGTAACTATTTTTATGTCAGGATATCTTGTGGTGAAACACTATTTTGCTTAAATGGTTATGTTTTGACTTGCGCTGTTCTGTTGTTATGCCCTCTTTTATCTCAATACCCCCTTTTTAAAATTATTTACTTTTTTCTTATCTTTTTAATTAAGGGAAAAATAAATAAAAAATAGCAGGATACATTATAGTAACCCACTTTGATTTCCTGTTAACTTGATTTGAAATCCTGTATTGCCCTCACCATCTTGTTTTGACTGACTTTCCCCTATTCTGCTTTGCTTGATAGTACCAAGTTTGAAAGTATAGGCATAACTGTGAAGACAATAAGATTCATTATAATACCCATTCTGGTTGACGATTATATTCTTTTAAAGTCCTGTAATGTCTCCAATGCTTTGGTTTTATTCTTTACTGTTTTGTTCAATTTTATTATAACTGATTATATAGGCAATTCTTCTTAAGATAGCAAGAGGCAGTATGGTAAACATTGTTGACCACCTTGTATTTTGTTTTTACATTATCTATTATATCCATCCTTTTGATTTGACTGACTCTGTTCTGATATGTCGCATTTGGTTCTACTCTCTTCAAAAAAAGTAATAAGAACTGTGGGAGTAATAAAACCCAAAATGTGTAATTGTCATTGTACAAAAGAAAAGAAAAAGTGCTCTAACGGTGCTCTAACGGTTATAACTGCATATATGTTTAAGTGTATAAGATAGATAACCATATTACTGAGTTTTTTTGGATCACTGAATAAAACTATTTGCACTCTCACTGTTTGAAAGTCCACTTTATATGCTTCAATTTTGTAACCTGAACATATTTCTAAGATGAGAATATGTAATCTATTAACTAGTGATTTCTTACTGTTTATTTTTTAAATTTTGTATTACTTGTACCCTTTTTCTATTTTTTTTCTTTTTCTCTTTAAATAAAAAATAAAAAATAGAAAATATCAAGTTCCCTAATCCAAATCAATTAAAATCTCTGGGGATTAGACACAGGGGTCTTTGTTCTTAAAAGCATGTATTGTATTCAAGCTTGTAAACCCATTACTTTTACTATAAATGTACTTTAGTAAATCCTACAAATAGATTGCTTTTTCATATAATATTTTACTAAGTGGTATAATTTTAAAGCAGTTCAGGGATTCTGATGCAAGCAGTGACTCCTAAAAGCCCAGAAATTACCCCCAGAAGCTTGAAAACTGATTATTAATAGCATTTTTACTTACAACCAAATAGTAAATTATTTCATATTTAAAGAAACTTAGCTAGAAAAAAATCATCAAAAGTGTGTCCCGGGGTGGAAAGAAGCCCCTGATATTCAAAGAAGCAGATTATGAAACACTAAATAGGAGAAAACTAATTGATTTCCACATCTACCTTTTCTAGCCATAATCTGCTTCTCTTTGACAAAGATATGCAGCAAGATATTCCGAGCAAAATGTGGGAACATTTTATATCTCCAAGTACAATTTTTTATCTTTGTGTACTTATATACAGAAATTTTATTTTCATTTACAGAATTTTCTCTTTGGGTTGCATGTAAATTCTGAATGTTCCAGAACAAACACATATTCTTCATGTGACGAAATAATTAAAAGTCTGTTTTAAAAGTCATGGCTCCCACTCATGTTCATGGCTGGCTTAGTTCTGGGTTACAGTGCTGCAGTAGTGGTTTCTTCATCCAAACCTATTCATTGTTCTTTTTGCTCCACCAGCTTTTAGTCATAATTTGTTTTATTTCTGCATTACTTCCACAAAAAAAAATAGGTGGAAGGAGGGAAAAGGAAAAGAAGAAAATATACACGCTGGAATTATGAGTAAAGAAATGAAAGAGAAAGAGAGGGAAGAGGAAAGGAAAGGAATGAGAAGTCAACTTCAGTAGCATTTGGTGAACCTACGCATGGTGCACTGCACCTCCCTGAGGACAGCCAAGACAAGAACAAGGACAAGGACAGGACCCTGGGGAGGGAAAACACATCAGATTTGCAAGCGGACCGTCCTTCTGCTTGGGAGAGGTTTGCAAAGATGCATTTCAAGGAATACAACAGGCTTTCCCAACCCCGATTTCACCTGAGCCCAGAGCAGCCCCAATGCACCTACCTGCCTCCAGTGTAATGCATTCTGCACAGAAGTTCCAGCAGGACAATGTGTCGCATACACGTCTACCCTAGACTGCAGAGTAAACACGTTATATGAAAGGATGAAGATATCACCAGGGTGCTGTTGATGATAAATATTACACTTTGTCCTTCAAAGCATTAAAAACTATAAAATCGGGGCTGGGGATTTAGCTCAGCGGCATAAGCACCTGCCTTGCAAGCAGGCAGTCGTGAGTTCAATCCCCGCTACCGATAAAAAGGAAAAAGACAAAAAAAAAAAAAAAAAAAAAAAAAAAAAAACCACACAACTATAAAATCATAATCTCAAATACATAAGATTGGGCTTAAAAAAATCTTCATCTACAAAGATGTCCTATTAAAACGTGAACAAGCACATAGAGTGCTTATGAAGGAAATGCAAAAATAGGATGAACAAGGGGTTCTACACATTGCAGTTACACTTTTTCATGTTTTTCTTAATTTTTAAGTTTGAATGACAATCATACCTTGCTTTGATCATCAGAAAAATGGTAACATTATTTAAAAAATTCCCTAGGATCTTCATTCCAGAATTTTAAAACCTATTTTCAACATGCAGCAATACAAATGACAAATAAATCTATAAACACCAGCATATTGCTGGTCAATGATTTGTTTTCTATTAAAAAGTAAAAGAATACATATAACTCATATGTGCATGCATGTCATATAAATGTATGCATATACACAACCACTTCAAATTTAAACATAATTTTTAAAGAAATAAACCACTAGACTAAATATATAAATATTACAACTTAAATTGTGACAGAAATAGTCTCCATTTGTGTTTGATGTAGGATCCTGACTAAAGCCCACCAAGAGAGCAGCAGCAGACAGTATTTTAGGTGTCCGCTGAAGCTGATTCCTAAGAGAAACACCTTGTAGGGTCTAAATGAGCTCACTAGATCTCCCATATCATTTGACACAAACAAGCAAATTCACAGACAAACTTACCGGAAGTTTGAATCAAGTCTTACTGCTCATATACGTACCATGTTTAAGTTCCTCTCATTAAATCCACAGATAAGAAAGAAAAGATTTCCACAAAGCTGCTTCATAATGACATGGGTACAAACGTTTGTACTTAGCCACTTCAAGATCTCACTTTGGGGTAAAAAAGCTTGGTGCCCAAATAATTTCTAAAAAACAAAGAAGCACAATGGTAACTCAGGTATCTGATGTATCAGTCTCCATGACCCACCTCAGAAGCACAGACACAGCAGCATCCTCAAGTGTGGCCTCAGAAGCAGAGTCAACCAGCAAATACTCAAAGATACTGACACAGTAAGTTTACTAGGCAAAATCAGATGTGTTCCAAGTATGTATTTAAATTCTTAAAATGAAAACAAAGGCAGAAAACAAGATAAATTTAGAATTAACTTTTGCAAAGGGAAAGGGCTTTGATCAGTTATGCCAGGGGCATCCCCAAATAGCTTTCATTTGTCTCCAATGGATCATTCATGACCTCCAAAAGACCTGCCAACTATGCATGCATCTAATTTCATATAGTCAAATTCAGCCCACAGTCTGTTGTTTTCTTTATTTTTTTAATTGGAGAAGGGGAGTAAATGTTTGAATGTCTATCAAGCTACTACCCTACAATCTCCAAAGATTAAATAAATTAAAAACATACATTTCTATGACACAGAAATTTCAATTCCCCATAGAAAATTTAGATATGCCCCCCAAAAGGTTGTAAAGATGCAGCAATAGCAAATCAGCAAACAATCTGAATGTCTACCAAAGCATTCTGGCTAAATGAACAGGAGTTCCTCATAGTCCAAAACTTATTATGCAACAATTTTTAAAAATGAATTAATGTGATGGCTTTCTGAGAGTGAAACATCCAATCTGTAGAATAATCTATACAGTTGGATAGCATCCATATTAAAATCTTTAATTTCTGAACTTTGCAATGAAAATCAATGCTCCTATTACCCAAGGCATTAAAAACATATTTGGTCAGAGTGTTTATATCTTCTCTGCATGGTCACTGATGCAGTAAATCCCATATTATATTAGTGTCAGATTTTGAGATCAGAATATCATCCATATTTCCTGTGCTGTTATCCCTGGTTTTAAAGTACAGTTATATGTCACAAACATCACAGGGTGCACTGACACCAACCTATATAGTACAGGTCAATCATTTGACCTGGATCCTTAATGCAATTAAGAGGCATGGTGAACACAAACGTACAAATGTTGCTACCAATATCATGATATATTACCATACAGTAAGCCTTTTTACAAAAGTATACTCTAAAATAGTGATTTAAAAAGACAGTAAATATATCACTATCAAATATTATGAATTACACATACAATATGTCTATAGTTTTGTGTAACTGGCAGCACAGGTTTGTTTATACCAGCACTGCCACAATTCCATAAGCAATGCATTAGTTATGACATCATGAGGTGACAGGAATCTTTCAGCTTTATTATAATCTTATGGAATTACCATCAAATATGCAATGTCTACTGAAATAAATGCCACTATATGACAGGTGACTATACATGTCTGTACAGGACTGTGTGTTTGTGTGTGTGTGTGTGTATGTGTGCATTCATGCAACATATCATATATTAAACCTAAAATGCATGGGCCAACTGGCCTCATAACTCCTTCTTATGAGAGCTATTTCTTCCTTGAACAGAATTTAGGGTTATATAATTTTAGAACTGAGGCATAGGGCAGTCATTGGCTTCATAGGAGTCACATGATAAAATATAATGAAACAGTAACTTTAGGGATGTGGCTAGAGATAGGTATGTAGGAAAGGCACATTTCCTTTCTCTCACATCTTGATTACTGCTATGAATAGGCTTATCTTGTGGGATAAAGAATAAATGCATAAGTGTTTAAATTATTTTCTTGAAAACTTTGCATTTTCTTTGTGTAGTAGGTAGGAAGCTGTACTAATACATGTTAACTGGGAGTATACAAAGCTGTAGTGTACAGTTAATGATGCACCACCTTGTAATGATTGACACATTGTATCAAGTTTAGAAATCGCTTATGTAAGTAACTCATCTACATCCTAGGGTGTCCATGCCCTTACTGCTCTAGGATGTTGTTCATTGTGTTGACTTGAGAAGTTCAGGAATTTAACTAAGTGACTCAGCAGGGGGTCAGCAGCCTTACTTTGTAAACATCCTGAGCTTGTGCAAGAGGACAGCATGGAGATGGTGTTTGTACTATACCCACCCAAGGGCTGTAGCCTACACACAATATAAGGGAGCAAAAAAGGCTTGTTCTCCTCGCTTTTTGCTCTTGCTGCTTTTGCTGTCTTCTGTCACCTTGAGCAGTTGCCCTTCTGCCGTACCACTCTGCCCTGGAGCCAGCTGGTAACACACTGAAACCTCTACAAACTGTGAACTAAATAAACCTTTTCTCCCTTAATTTTGGTCATTGCGTATTTTATCTCAGCAATGAGATCAAAGTAACCAAGACTGGATAGGAAGCAGGAATGAAGGCAGAAAGCAAAGCCCACATCTCCACTAACAGTAAATGGAGAGGAGGACCATGGCAGATTCTCCCTCCCACAGTCAGTTCTTCAGACAGGAAGAGGAAATGTTGCAGGGGTGGGGCAGTTAAGTACCTCCAAGAGATGCTCTGGCAACCGTCCTAATTTGGTTAGAGGACTCTTAGCAAAATCTACTAAAACCACAGGAGCCAAGGCAAAAAATACTTTAATCTTTTTGGCCAGTTCAGGTAACTGTGAAAATGCTATAAAACCTGTGGGAACAAAAAGACAACAGAAATTCCATCTTCTGGGTCTTCTTAGAAAAAACAAGGAACGTCATTCATAAGGCCCCCAGCAGCAACCCAATGACCCAGTAAGCAACTCAGTCCTCAGAGTCAGAACACTTAGGAAGGGACCCTCTGAACCTCTGAGTAAGCAAACTAAGTTAGCAAAGCAAATGTTTGTTAAGCAATTGCTCCAAATTCCAACCTACATATCCACAGGAAGAAATCCAGAAGGTGCCTTTAAACTGTGTGAACTGTAAGACTACATTTCCACAGCTCCACCCTACGACTTCCATCTCCCTGGCCTATCTTTAATCTATAGCCCCATTCAATTAAGTCACCAAGGACTCTAAAAGAGTACCTTAAAGTGTCTTTGAGCCCCCTTAGTCTCTTCTTGCCATTTAGCCTTAGAATGTCACTGAAGAAATCAGTCAGGCACAGCACAGAAGTAAACTAGTTTTGAAAGAAGGAATATAAATGAACAACCAAGTCTGTTTTTCTAAGAGTAAAGCATAGCTGTATACCTGTTTAAAAGCATGCATGCTTTTCATATAATAATTTTTCTTTCTAGTATTGAAGGACATGAACATAAAAGTTTTAGTCACAGGGAACACTAAAAGGGAGAAATAAACAAATTACAGGACAGGTTCCCTCTAGTTCCTAATTCGAGAAATTTGCTTTTTAGAATTACAGATAATTTGTATTTTCTTTAAACTATTTTTATTTCTAATAAGCACATTAATATTATCATCAACATAAATTAAAATCCATTTTCCTTTAAAAATGGATTAGCAATTAAGTGCAACCCATTATCCTTATAGTTAGATTCTAGTTAACTGTTTATTTACATTGCTGGAAATCAAACACACTAGGTAAGTGCTCCACACATAGCTATAGCCCAGCCCTCCACTTAACTTTAAACGTATTTTCCAAGTTCCTTAGGAAACTTTCTGTTTTCTACTGTGTCATGCCCCGATAGTGCTTAACTTGAAAAATAAATATTACAATGTGGCTCACGTTAATTCTTTCAGTTTTTAGAGAATGATATTCCATATTTAGCCATGTAATTTAAAGTCTGAACTTCCATGAAAGATTGCTACCAAATTCTTTGTCCTATTTGTGATTTCTGCTTGGCATTAAAAACAAAAACAACTATGTCAACTAACTTTTTATATTCACTAATTTTAAGAATAAGTATAAACTGTAAGAAAGACACATGACCTTCCCGTCCCTATTCCTTACATACCTATTGTGCTGCCTTGAGAATGACCCACATAATACACTTGCTTTACACCAGTTTTATTCAGAATGAAGTCAATTGAAGCTGGTAGGTCGTATTTTGCCATTTCATCAAAACTGGAATCAAAAAAGGAACTCTGTTGTTAAAACTGCACATAAAATAGAAGAACACTCAGATATTAAACATGAAGCTTGCAGAGTATCATAAATTGAACACAGTTGAGTAAATCAACACTAAGCTCAGAAAACTGAACCTTACGAGGCCCACTGGGCTCCCCTTGGACTCCCCTCTCGTTATGCCTCCAAAGATAACTATTATGCTCATTTTTCCCATTATAAGTCTGTTTCACCCACTGTAAGATTTTTCTATGAATAAGACCATACAGTTTTACATTTTTTCCACCCCTATGTTTATCCATGTTAGTACAAAGAATTTAGGTATTTGTTCTTCTTTTGCTTTTTAATATTCCATACTTTACTTGCCTGTCCGTTTGGTTCACTGCTGAGGACAGGCACGTGAGTGGTTTTCAGTTTTTCCCTAAAGCATGTAGTGCAACAGTATATATATTCTTCTACATGCCTTTTGGTAAAAATTCTCATTCTTGTGTATAGGAAGGCTCTAGTAGTACAAATAGGAGGCAAGCCTGGAGACATCCAAAGAGCTAATCTTCTCTAATACTCAGTGCAACAAGATACAGTGTCGAACAAGGTGTGTGTCACGAGCAGATTAGCACATTGTCACTATACACTGGCAATGTGTCAAGTTCTGTGGAGACTGTTTCCCAGTATCCCCTCCTTTAATCCCCTGATGACTTTATGAGGCAAGTGTTTACTATCCCCATTGCTAAGAAAGAAACAGGCAGGGATTGTGCAGCATGCCCAAAATCATATGGCAGCTAATTGGGAAAGGCAGAAGTAAGATAGAAGAGAATTTCTGCAAAGAAGAAAAGTTAACATATGGAAGATGTGTTTATGAAAAATGGAAGAGGTTTATGGGAACAATGTTCACCAGCAGGCCCCACATCAGCTAGAATGACAAAATAACTTAGGAATTCACAACTGAATATAAGGCCTATTTAAATCATTTACCTTACTGCTTATTTGATTCCTGGAAGGTTTAAAATCTTTCAAGAGACAACAGTCTCTTGCAATTTCAGAGTTACTCATCTAACAGCCTCTTCTGCTGAATTCTTCATGTGCCTGCTTTAAGGCCACTAAGGAAAAAGACCACAGTCATAACCAACTGAAATATACCTGAAGGCCCAGAATTCATCCTGAGAAACTGACAGATTCTTGTGTTTCCGAGACCAAGTGTTTCCCCTGCTGTTCCCCATCCACACGTCAAAGCCAGCATCAGCAAGAATGAAGCCCAGGCTGCTGCTGTCAAGGTTTGTGACCCAGTTACTGGAATCTGCCAAAAAGCCATGCTGTAGAAAGACAACTTGTTTGGGACCTGAAAAACAGCACGCATGTTTAGGAGATTAGTATCCCCAAGCTTCAAAACAAACAGAACATTTGCTAAACTATCTCAAAGTGAATGATGAAAAACAAAGTCATGATGTAGGGATTTACTCCCATGTAACCCTAGTTTAAAAAAAAAAAAACTTAAAGAAAACAGGGCTAATAAGTAGCAGTAAAACTGAAATATTTTTACTTGCTTAATTACAAAACAACTAACTATTGAAAAAATTTATGTATGTTTTAGGAACATGTGAAACGTTTATTCACAGCCAGACACAGCAGGTACATCTATAACCCCATTTATTCAGAAGGTGGAGATAGGACAATTGCAAATTTGATGCCAGCATGTAAAATTTGGTGAGATTCTTTTTTTTGAACAAAGAAAATAAAAGGTTGGAGATATATCTCAGTGCTCCTAGAGTTCAACCCACAAAACAGTTTCTAAAATTTGCTCCATAAATTGCTTTTCTTTCAATGAATGCTAACAAAATAAACCAAAACAAAAGGATCACACACAATGAGATACTACTATCGACCTATTAGAACAGCCCAAATTCAAAAACACTGACAGTACCAGTTTTAGCAATAGGAACTATCATTTATAGCTCAAAATAATGCAAAACAGTAGTTCCACCTTGAAAAACAGTTTGGCAGTGTCTTACAAACTAAATATATTCTTACCATTCAATCCTGCAATCATGTTTCTTGGTTATTTTACCCAAAGGAATTGAAAACTTATGTCCATATAAAATCCTGTGTATGAGTGCTTCTGGTAGCTTTGCTTATAATTGCTAAAAGCTGGAAGCAATCAGGATATCCTTCAGCACATGGATGGATAAACTGTGGTACACAGACAATGAAGTGTTATCCTGTTCTAAAAGGATACGAGCTACAAGGTGTGAAGGAACATGAAATGCATGTTCCTAAGGGAAAAACGCAATCTGAAAACGTTGCACAGTATATGATATTGTGGAAAAGACCAAACTATAGAGGAAGTAAAAAAAAAAATAGTGATTCTGGTTGGGGGAGAAAGGAGAGAAAGAGGCAGAGGAAAGAGGGTCATTAGGACCCTGGAACTCTATGTGATACTGTAATGGTAGATAAACACCGTCACACATTTGGCTAAACCCACCAAACACATCACATCCAGAGATAAACTTAGGTAAACTGTGAATTGTTGCTTGCTGGTAACAATGTGCCGCTGCTGCAGCTTCTTCAACTATAACAAATACACAGCGGGGGGATGCTCCCAACTCCACTGAGAAAAGGCAGAAGACGCCTGGGTGTCTCCATACACTGGCCCTCACAGTAACTGTATTCGTAAATGTCAAAATTTCAAAGTAATCAATTTTACTTCTCCATTATTCTGTGAACCTGAAGCTGCTCTAAAAACACACAACCTAATCAAAAAATTTAAATTGGATTAAAAAATTAAATAGAAAAAGATTACATGTTTATAGATTTGTGTATATCTACGTGTAGGTTTAAGTTTATTTTGCACCTGAAACAGTGATGCAGCAGAAAAAAAACAAAAATTTGGAAGTCAAAGAAATCTGACTTCAAGCTGGTTTCAGTTTTGAGGCCACTGACCATACACTAAACAAATCTTTAGTAAGCAACAACTGTATGCTAGACATCCCTCTGTCTAAAAATCAGACCAATCTGATTTTTGTGATTTTTGTGGTACCAGATATTGAACCCAGGGATGCTGTACCACTGAGTTATATCCCCAACACTTTTTACTTTTTAAGACACAATCTTAAGTTGGGTGTTGTTGCACATGCCTGTCATTTCAGAATCTGGGAAGCTGAGGCAGGAGAATTTCTGTGAGTTCAAGGTTAACCTGGGTTATATAATAAGTGCAAACGTAGTCTGAGCTACACAGCAAGACCCTGTCTGAAAGAGAAAAAAAATCAATTAAGACACAATTTCAATAAGTTGCCCAGACTGGCCTTTGCCTAAACTTGTAATCCTCCTGCTTCAGCCTCCCAAGTCACTGGGATTACAGGTGTCCCATACCACATGTGGCTTAAATTTAACACTACATCAATAAGATCAAATTTGGGGATTTAGCTCAGCGGCATAAGCGCCTGCCTTGCAAGCAGGCAGTCGTGAGTTCAATCCCTGGTACCGATAAAGACAAAAAAGACCAAAAAAAAAAAAAAAAAAAAAAAATTTTTACCAAGAGAGTAGATTCAGCATTTTATAGGCTGTGTCCAATAAAGAAGATCCAAGGTTATCTTAGGAAGTTTTAAAAAATCATAAGAAGTTTGAAATCATAAACTTGAGTGTGATAACAATAATTGCCAAAATTCCCTGCTCTTTAAGCCCAAGAACAGCTGGGGGCTAAGAGAAAACCTAGAGAGTTCTTTTTTTGGCAAAGAGAGGGCAGTGATGTCTTCATGGTGGCCTCCTCAGCTCTACTATTGGAAGCAACTGGGTTAGGGTCAGCACAACCCCTAACTGGGTTAGGGTCAGAGGAGTCCCAGCCAGGAGGAAGCAAGGAGTGGATTATTCAGGATCTGAAACTGAATGTGGTTGCGCAGAAGGAAGGTGACCCCAGGCGTGGGGAAGCTCCTCCTGTCTCCCAAAGCACTGACCTCCTCTGCCAGGACAGAGTCCGGATGGGACTTTTCCACGCGCAAACCCAGTTAGAAGCAGCAGCGGAGGTCTGGGAAAGAAGTAAAACTGAGAACAAGGAGGAAGGAGGCACAGGATTGAGGATGTGAGCACAAACCTTACACGATTTACTCAGTTCTGAAATGTGCCTTTTCCCAAAGCATAGAAGATGACATGGCCGATAAAGGGCAGAACTCAATAAACAGCACTCCCCGCCAGCCACAAGTATGTAAATGTGTAAAATATTATTAGAAAACAAGCATTGTAAAGAAAAAGAAAAAAAAGTGGTATTCTTTAGTGCAGGCACTATAATCACAGTTACAAGAGCAGAGCATGTCAGGGACTTTGCTAAACATTTTACATATATTTTCTCCCATACGCTCCCTGCTTTAATAGAGTAGAACAATGATCCCTGCAAAGAAGGTCACATCCTAATTCCTAAAACATGAGAATATATATCACCTTTGCATGGTGACAAAGATTTTGCAGATGTGCTTAATGATCTTGCGATAAGGAGGACACCAGGGTTTATTTAAGAAAAAAGGAGAGGGGCCATGTAATCACGAGGGTCCTTACAAAAGGGAAGCAGAAAGGGTCAGAATTAGAAGAAACTGGAGAACACATCCTCCTGACTTTGGAGATGGAGCAAGGACCCATCAGCCAAGGAAGCAAGCAACCTCTGAAATCTGGAAAGGCCAAAAAAACAGATCATCCCCTGGAGCTCTGAAACTGTAAGATAAACAATCTACTGTTTTAAATCACAATGTTAGTGGTAGTTTGTTAAAGTAGCCATGTAATACTAATACAACCAGAGACCAACTTTTTCCCACCATGTTTTTGGATGTGGACTCCAAGGCACTGTGTGGCTAATGAAGGAAGCTGTCCACAGCCTCACGGCCAGCAACAGTGGAACCAGGCTTCTGAAGCAGGCTGTGCTGTTGCTCGAAGGCTCCTTAAGCAAAGCAAAGGCTGGGAGGCACATGGATATTTTTGAGGTTATGGTAGGTCCCCACATGTGTCCTGTAACCCTAAATCTATCCATTCTTAAGGTTCTAAAGTTTTATCAACCCATGTATGGGCTTCGGGGAACCCATAAACCCCTGTATGAAGTCGCTAAATTTGGTGTACACAGCATTTACTCAGGCTTTGAGGGTAACTGCAACATGTTGCCTAACCTGATAGCTCAGGTTTGCTGGCTCCTCCGCCCTGCTCCTTGCTGGTTTGGAAGGAATTTGTACATAAAGTGCTTCTCTCCTGCTGCACAGCAATGAGAATTTGTGTACAGGTGTGCACTACTTCATACTGAATGAAGCAAAGTCAGAAATGGCCCTTGCTTTGTACCTCCTGGGAAATCCATGGGATTCAACAATTCAAGGAAGCTCAACACCAAAAAGAATAGGCCCTAAACTTTGAACAAATCCCAAGTCCAAGGGCTTGTGCAGCCATTCCTATGAGCTTTAGTTTGTCAGAGCTCTGGGGCTGAAAGTCTTCTTGAACTTGCCCCAGCCACATAACAGAAACCAAGCAAATATTCTGGCATCTGGATGATGTGTCTGCCAGTGTTTGTCAAGACAACTATCAAGCATGTGCTAGGCACCATGTTTCCTAAGATTCTCATGATTACACCCATTGAAAAAACTAAGTAGCTAGAGAGAAAGGTTAAGTAATCTGTACTAAAACATTCAGCCAGCACAATGCTAGAACCAAAACCAAGTTAGCCTCATTCCCAAGTCCTTTTAACCACTGGCCTAAATAAAAACTATGAGAGCACAGGTGAGGTATATACAAACATATATTAGGTTTGTCTCCAGTTATCACAGCAAGCCAAAGAGCATTTCCCAAAGCCAGCTACAGGCTGAAATGACTCAAAGAGCTTATAAAGCAGACATGTTCCTAGCTATTTTCTTGGCTATTGTGAATCAACCCACATCCATAGCTATGTTCAAACTAATTCATCTAAAAGAGTGTAGATCCAGCTATCTCTGCTGCATCAAGTTGGCTCAGAATAAAGTGTGTTACCTGAAATGACCAGAGAGAGGCCACTTAGACATGGGCATCTCTGGTGTCTTAGTTACTTTTCTCGTTGCTAGAACAATATGCCCAACACCTACAGTTAAAGGGAAAAGTTTATTTGGTTCACAGTTTTTAGAGGTATCAGTTTTTAATCAACTGGCTCCAAGTCAAAGTGCCATTGCAGAAGGTAGCAGACTAACACAGCTCTTTCTGTCCCTTGATGTTATCTAAGATACTCAGTGTGGTAACACTCCCTTAATCCTAGTGCCCTTAATCCTAGCAGTGGAGCATGAATCAATTCCAGCATCACACACTCTAGATCCAACCTGTACAAGCCCCACCAATGAGTGCATGAGGCAT